AGTCTATCATCCATTTTGCAAGACATTTCAGAATATACTGTATACTGTATATTGATACAAAGTATATTCTGTAAATATACTTTGCTAGCGTTGCCAAAATAACATTTTTAGATCAATATTTTACTTTATGTCATTATCTATCTTACGAATTTATGCTTACTGTACCTGCTTTATTACGTGTATCACCTCTAGTTATCGCATAGTAAATTTCTACTTTTATTGCTTGATACGTGTTCTTAACTTGGTATATGTCGATAATATATTCCTCTTTTTCTAAAACAGTATTTGCACTAACCTTTTCCGGTAAGCCTTATGAAAAGTATATACGACCATTTTTATGGTTATATAATGTTGACATACGTTTCTCCACTCTTTTCTCCATACTAAGCGTGTATTTACATGCAAACGAGCAAAATGGTTGCAGTATTTTGTTGCCACAGCAACGCAAATAATAACTAGAATAAAACTAAAGGAGTACGACTTGACTTAAAGTATGGTAATCAAAAAAAATAAAATACAATCAACAGAACGGGTTGGTTCGGCATATGCCACCAAAACGTGCACATGTCGATACAAATAATATTCTTGCGACCGTAACAACAATGAAATTATTAATCATTTTATATGGCGTTTTTGCGCTGCACTGCGCAACTTTCTATAATGACCTTGGTGTTTTAATTGCTTGCGCTTGTTATATCTCCACGCAGTAAATGGATAACCAGAGATAAAGTATTAGACATTCTGTCGAATTATGCTTTTATTAAATATCTCTTCTTTTATATCAACGAAAATTGCGGTATGTAATGTAGTGGTCGCAATTCTCATTTCGATTGGCGATTAAGGGGAAATGGAATATTCTATTATTATGCGCTTGTTACAACATCTATATATTATTTTTAGCTTCACATAGACTCCAACTTATTCGTACAAGCATCGCATCATACATAGTGATGCCTAAATATGTCTTCCGCTTAATCAAAACAAGATCCTCTACAAAGCCAAGGCTTTCATCAACCACGAAAGGACACTATCTCTAAACCAAAAAAAACTTCCCCAAAGACATAGCTAGATTACATAATGAATCTGAATAGTACGATTTACTTTAAAGGTCGTATCTTTTGAATTAAAACATCATTTCTTAAAAGTTTTTATTAAAATGTTATCAAAAGAAATAAATAACATTGAGGGGTTTTGTGATACGCGTTTGCACGAAAATAATACAAGACATAAGTAATTACAATGTCATAATGACGCAGCCTCCAAAATAATTATTCTAGTCGGAGAAATAATATTTTTCTGTGATGCACGATGCTACTGGTTGGTTAGAAAGAATACAGAAATTGCCAATTACCGGAATATAGTACCCTCTCCTCTAATAGTATATCGTACGTCACTGTTAAAGGTAATAGTACAACACGGCAGTATGAACGTCCTACGATTTTGCATGCATAATATATACCCAAGTACAAAAAATACTCATCGACATAACAAACTCGATGAAAGTATAATAAATCTGCACAATCAGCCGAAAATCAGTCATCTGGCAATCAATTAACTAGATATCAACAGCCGAGATTTATAATCGATCTAGCAGCGATCAAAGAGGAAGTCCAATTGAATTGCAAGTACCCTCCTCCGCACGCAGCACCCAGGGTGTACTATATTTAGTGGTCTACGGTAACTAACAAGATAATATTATCTACTAGCTTCAAATTTGTTTTATGTGTGACAATCCGATGTATTAATTTCGGCTGACCAATTGGAGATAACATACATAGCAGTGTTGCTATGTGAATAGTGGTACCGCAACTAAAATGTCCTTCAAACTTTGACGAAATGAATAACATTGTTGATTTGCCCTCAGGTCTTTCGTCCGACTTTGAGAAACTTTATGAAAATGGCAAATATACGGATGTTTCAATTTGTGTCGGAAAGGAGCCAAACAGCAAAATATTTCTCGCTCATGCTTCGGTATTATGTGCAAGAAGCACATTTCTTGAGAAAAGTCTAACAGAAGCATCTGAAAGCATTCAAAAAGCAGCCATAACGTTCGAAGATGTGACACCTGATGTTTTCGAAGTTTTGCTTAGGTATCCTCATATGTGTAAAAGTGCGTTTCTCAGAGAGATGTGTATGTTTCATTACTTACTGCCAACATAATGGTTATACAGGTTTATCTACACTGGGCGAATGTCCCATGATTCATGCAGGGATATCAGCTGGATTAGCCTTTTGAATGGAGCAAACATGTTTGAGCTGTATGATCTTCTTGTTGTAATTGAAAAATATTTGATCAATACACAGCCGGAATGGATTCAGCAAAATATCCTTACGGTTCACCAGTATGCTCTATCTGCGGGTTCTTCAAGAAGCCTACTGTCCTACTGCAATCAAATTATAGCTTCAAACCCAGACATAGTTTTTAACTCGAATGATATCGCACGCTTACCCAAAGAGACTTTGATCACCCTTCTCAAGAACCCTGACCTTGATATGAATGATGACGATATTTGGATGTCAGTTGTACAATGGGCTATTAAACAAACTCCTGGACTCGAAAACGATCCGGATAATTGGTCATCTAATGACATTAACACGATTAAAGATACCATAGCTGATTGTATACCTCACATAAGGTTTTTTAACATTTCTCTCAAGTCCGTTGTCCTGTATGATGACTTGTTACCAAGAAAATTGCGCCGTGATATAATGAATTATCATACTGAATGGAAGTGTATTGATTCACGCATAATTAATGAACAACAGGTGAGATGGATCTCATCAAAGATTGCGGAATCAAAAAAACGTCAAGAAAACCAAAGGATATCTAGCAACCAAATCCATGTTTATAAATTTAATCTACTTTATCGACAAAGTAGAGATGGTAATACAGTGGCAAAATTTAGAGAATTGTGTAATAACAAAGGGCCTACAATTGCTGTTGGGAAAGTATCAGGCACCAAAGAAATACTTGGCGGATACAATCCAATCACATGGGGTTCCAACGAAAATGGTTATGTTGACACTGAAGAAAGTTTTATATTTGCATTAAATAAAGATAGTCTGGAGAAGGAGAGTGCAGTAAGTTTTGTTGTTAATGCTCAGCATGCCATTTTTGATTATAAGGATTGTTTTCCAATTTTTGGGGGGCCCTTTTCAGTTGATTTACATTTTGGCGATGATAGAACATTACAACCTTATGCTAAAAAAAAGGCATACCAAATTCCAATAAGGAGTTGGTCCACTTACTTTGAGTGGGCTGACTGGGAGGTGTTTTCTGTTTCAGAATCTTATGTTTTCGCATACAGTTGAAATTCGTATCTGTTTGTTGAAGCAATCCATTTATTATTACCATGCACATGTTATGTTATTACAGAGTTTACTAGAATTGTATTATTATTGAATAATAAAAAGGTTATAAAAAATTACTATTACAGGTCTTATGTATTGGTTGGTACTGTTATTAATTTTGACAGTAATTGATTCTTATGTTATTGTCTACGCTGAAAATCTCTGCGCAGATCATTTGTACATTTGATTGAGCTTCCGAGTTTGAGCGAGACATTAGAAAACATACAATTTTATTAGCTGTTTCTATCGTAGTTATTCGATTCTGTTAAGTGAGCCAGTTATTTTGACGATTATCTGAAATATTTAAACGATTAAGAGAGAGAACGTCTGAATATTGATCATGGAATTTAGGCGTTTGCGATCTCTACTTCTGCCAAACGTACTTCGACAAGTTAGTGACCTTTAAGCTGTGTTTACAACTCACGATATATTTATCAATCTCAACCTCGATTATATTTAGCATATCAATTACACTAACAGAATTAGCTATAACGCGCGTTTCTCAATTCGTATTTGCCAAGCAAAGTAAATCGATAATTACTCCTATCAATAAAGGCATTGGTATGGGTATGAAATAAATTATTTTCATACACTTTTATTTGACTGCTTTACAGAAACTAATTATCAACTTACCGAAACGTGCTTTGATCGTAAGATATTTCTGGGGACTTACCAAGTATACAGTCAAATTTTGAAAGCAAGTGATGTTTTCGCCCTTTTTATCGATTTATCAGTTGACGCAATGACTTCATCTAAAATTTGTGAGTAATGTACATGGATAAAGAGGGCAACAATACAAAAAAGTGGGTAAAGGTTGGGCAGTTGGTTTAGGATAATTTGACAAACATTAGACACGGAGCGCTGTCACTTCTTACGTGAAGACAAGCCATGTGAGAACACACTAACCCGTTTACATCAATATAATCGTTTTTTGCACGTGATTACAATTTGCGGGTAAAACATAAACAGTCCTTCCTTATGCCACAAAAACTAAATATCAAGTTCCAATAAGGCGTTCGTCAGCCATTTGCTTTAAGTGGGCTGACTGGTTTGATGTTTCAAAATCTTGACCTAATCTGGATTGGTTTATAATAATCATATTTTCTTATACGGTTGAAATTCATATCTCAATCTGTTGAAGCAATACTATTTATTATGTGTCTATGATGTAACGTTATTTCAAAATTCGCGGGGGGTGGATTAGCATAAAAAGTTATAACTTACGTCTTGTGTATTATTTATTAATTTAACTGTTTATGTTAAATGCTTCTATGCATTAAGAATCAATGTTATATTTGTATTAAAAATTTTTAAGTAAATAAAATTTTCTTTAGCTGGCCGGATACAGGGGTAGTGTACATAAGGCGAAGTCATCGGGTTGGACCAAATAATATAGTAATTTCATTTATGGAAAATTAAACGATAAATTTAATTCCCAATACTTTCGCATTGGGTGGGTGATGTCTTTTTATGGGAAACTAAATGATACTTTTCTCCCAACGGTATTAAAATACTACTTTTCAGCTCGACATTCGATGTACCACTTTCATTCAACAGTAACGGACTGGTTAATATACCCTACCCTCCCCTACCAAGGCTCGTCTAGTTTGCAGAAATGCAAAGTTATAGTCTCTTTGAAAAGTGTGAGTATGAGATTACAGAACAATTCAATTGCGAGTGATGTAACTTCCGAGAAAAAGCTATGTGAAAGAAAAGTAGATGGACACAAAACAATCAAATACTCTTTCCATATTTGTTTATTGATACAATTTTGCTAACAGTTACATTATTCGGACATTAATGTGGCTATCGAGAAAAAGCGTAAGGCCAGCCAAAATCTCTGTGAAAACGAAAAAGTACATGATTTTGCGCATGCTTTTCAATATGAAGTAAAAAGCAATTTATTGTAAAAATATAACGACGATAAGCAAAGACATATTGTATTTGCTAATGCATTTTAAACGAGCATATCTATAATGATTTCTATTTAAACAAACTGTATTATTAGATAAAGTGACCGAATATATCGATAACGCAATAAAATTGCGAAGAGATCTTTTTACCGGATTAGGAATGAAATTGACTGGAAGAGTTTGGTTCAAGTAAACAAAGTCATTATCTAGAGCGGTATCCAGACTTGTGATTTACTGAACAGACTAGCCTGTGATACATTCTCTGGTGTACTAGACTTAAATTGCGTGAAGCAAGACGAAGAATGTGAGCTGATAGTTCCATAGTCTTAGTCATATAAAATCAGCCGGCAAATTGCGGATAGTTAGCGTAATTTCTTAAACCAGCGTACAACAGCAGTCTTATTACGCGCAGACAGTTGTGCGACTATAAGGGGCTAATAATTTCAGCCGGTCAATTGAAGATCAACATACAACTGACTGTTTACACACCTGCTGAAACTTTGACGAAATGAATAACATTGTTGATTTGCCCTCAGGTCTTTCGTCTGATTTTGAGAAACTTTATGAAAGTGGCAAATATACGGATGTTTCAATTTGTGTTGGAAAGGAGCCAAACAGCAAAATATTTCTCGCTCATGCTTCGGTATTATGTGCAAGAAGCACATTTCTTGAGAAAAGTCTAACAGAAGCATCTGAAAGCATTCAAAAAGCAGCCATAACGTTCGAAGATGTGACACCTGATGTTTTCGAAGTTTTGCTTAGGTAACCTCCCTCATATTTATATATGTAAAAGTACATTATCAGAGAGATGTGTATGCTGTCATTACTTACTGCTAACATAATGGTTATACAGGTTTATCTACACTGGGCGAATGTCCCATGATTCATGCAGGGACATCAGCTGGATTAGCCTTTTGAATGGAGCTAACATGTTTGAGCTGTATGATCTTCTTGTTGTAATTGAAAAATATTTAATCAACACGCAGAAGGAATGGATTCAGCAAAATATCCTTACGGTTCACCAGTATGCTCTATCTGCGAGATCCTCAAGAAGCCTGCTGTCCTATTGCAATCAAATTATGGCTTCAAACCCGGACATAATTTTTAAATCGAATTATATTGCATGTTTACCCAAAGCGACGTTGATTACCCTTCTCAAGAACCCTGACCTTGATATGAAGGAGGATGATATTTGGATGTCAGTTGTACAATGGGCTATTAAACAGTCTCCTGAACTCGAAAACGATCCGGATAATTGGTCGTCTAATGACATTAACACAATTAAAGATATCATAGCTGATTGTATACCTCATATAAGGTTTTTTAACATTTCTCTTAAATCCGTTGCCTTGTATAATGACTTATTACCAAGGAAATTGCGCCGTGATATAATGAATTATCATGCTGAAAAGTATATTGATTCACTCATAATTAATGAACAACAAGTGCAATGGATCTCATCAAAGATTGTGGGATCAACAAAACAACATCAAGAAAATCAAAGGACATCTAGGAAGCAAAACCATGTTTGTAAATTTAATCTACTTTATAGACAAAGTAGAGATGGTAATACAGTGGCAAAATTCAGAGAATTGTGTAATAACAAAGGGCCTACAGTTGCTGTTGGGAAAGTATCAGACACAGAAGAAATACTTGGTGGATATAACCCGATTGCATGGGGTCTCAAAGAAAGGTATTTTATTGACACTAAAGAAAGTTTTATATTTGCATTAAATAAAGATAGTTTGAAGGAGAATATAGTAAGTTTTGTTGATGATGCTCAGCATGCCATTTGGGATTATGAAGCTCGTTTTCCTATTTTTGGGCGTGGTTATGATTTACATTTTGGTCACAGTGGAATTTGCCCACCTTATGCTAAAAAAAATGCATACCAAGTTCCAATAAGGTCGTCAGCTAGCTTTAATTGGGCTGACTGGGAGGTATTTTCCATTTCAAAACTTTGAATTAAATCTGGATTGTTAAAGCAATACTTTGATTATGCTATGATTTATAACTACAGCATTTACTAGGGTGGTTTAGTATTTTGAGTAATAAAAACTTATGTGTGTTTATGTATTGATTGGCACTGTTTTTCTGTTTATTAGTTTGACTAGTATTATACTATATCTTTTGTATTACTGGACAGAAAACCGTATATTCATATGCTGAGAATCTTATCGTGCATCTCATTGAGCTCTCTGAGCAAGACATTAGAGAACAATGTGAACGGTAGTTGACGTACTTCCAATTGTAAGTTTATCCGCAGCTATTTGATTCTTTAGGTGCTATTCCACCGCCGTAAGTAGTTTTTTATTATTCCGTTAGTCTTTAACCAAATCCTCTGCGGCTAGTTATTCTAGTAATCATTCGACATATTCATTATAACGCGAAGATTGAATTTGCTGTACAACAACAAATTAAAAGTATAGAGAAATATGCTAGAATACAGTTATTGTAAATTAATCAATAAACTGGGTTTACAACTCACGATAGTTGTCGACGTTAGACCTCGATTATATTTAACATCAATTGCTACTATTTTTCTACTAGCGAAATTAGACTATAATAGCCTAATGTAGTCTGTCAACTACAACACGCGTTTATTCAACTCATAGTTGCCAAGCTAAATCGATGGGCAAATCTACCGAAATGAAATAAATTATGTATTAATTTACTTTTCTTAGACTATTTTACTATTGATGACAAAAACTAATTATCAAAAGAAATTCAACTCGAAACGTGTAATTAATTGTGAGATATGTTGCAGGCAATTCTAGGACTAATTACTACGTATGCAGTCAAATATTGAAAACAATGGTGATGTTTTTGCCCTATCGGTTTCTACATCGCATCAATTTTGAGTATTTATTTTGGTCCTACATTTGAAAGTAGTCAAATATTCAACATGTTTGGAGCATCCATCACAAGTCGCGTTCCCAATAATTTCCTGTCAAGAAAACTAAAAGCTTTGTCTTTGTCATTCTTTCTAGCTGATTACGTCAACGTAAGCGAGTTAGTGTGTTCTCACTAGCTTGCCTGTAAGAAGTGACAGCACTCCATGTCTAACGCTTGTCAAATTGTCCTAACAAATTGCCACTTTTCGTGTTGTTGCCAGTACATTTACTTACACATTTTGGTTATGGATAGAGTTTGCTGTGGAATCTACAGTGTTCAAAATAATCTTGGTTTTTTAGATTTATTTACAGATATAACTGCCTACCAACACAGGCAAATGGATTTCATCCTAAATAAGATAGTTTGTTTGTAATTGCGATTTCTTAATAATCTCATCGAGTTGCTTATTGTTTGCTAGCCCATCCATTGGACAATACTTTGTGACCGCAAATGCACTACACGGGACGGGGATTACATCATCGAAGGCCCTCATTAAACAATTCAAGATGAGAAAACAATTTGGAAAGATTCAAGACAATTTTTCTAATTTCGCTGTCTTCTTACCCTCTAGATTTATTTTCTCTGTGTCTTCCAGGCAGGGAATTATCTACTACCTTAAAAAGTCTAGGCCGTAGTCCATATTATAATTTTATGTTACTCCACATACAGTGCAGAATCCATAACGAGAATAACAGTGGTAAAACATTCATTCCTCAATGCGACATTCAAGCGATTCATTATATCTTCTGAAGTTATTGTTAGAAAGTGAGTATATTCCAGCAAACTCACTCACAATGTACATTCTTTGCTACTTCCAAGTAATCATGTGATAATTGCTCCCAAGGAATCCATTCAAGTCTTAAGTATTCATATTCATTTGGCAAGTAGGCTTGAAGCAAGTTGCTGGATTATGTATATCTTTGAACTAGTGACATGGTTAATGTTTCAACACTTTATTATTCCGGCACATCGGGATTTAATGCCTGAAGGCGTTCTTCAAGGAAATTTCAGTCTTGCATTTGTAAGTATCCCCGAGAAAGTAAAAACAATTGCGAAACGGCAAGCCGTTAACTCAGCCGTTGTTTGATGCAAATACACAATAGATAGCCCTGGGTGATAGACAGAATATTCGTTAATACAACTTCATACTCTTTTGCAGCCTGCTGAGCTTCTCCTGACCGTCTGCCCAACAACTGCAGGTCAGGTTTGTAAATTGAAATTTTGTACATTGTTTTGGATCGTCTTGTAAGTCAGAGTTACGATAAAAAGTTAAGAAGAAGCAAGAGGCGATCGATATACTGTTTGTTGCTTGGTGACAGAATATCATTTTCAGCAATCATGTCAAGCCGTGTATTAACCGTCGGGAAAAAAAGTTCAGATGAAAAATAAAACGGTAATTATTGTAAGTGTCATTCTTTCAGGAACTCCATGCAAATTCGTCTCGATTAACTCTATCCTCTTCGCTTGAATACCGTATGTCAGATTACGCTTAAACAACGTCGTCGTGGCCATATAAACAGCGAGTTCTTTCGCAATGATAGGCAGAGAAAGTGAACTTGGTCGAAATGGGGGATGCCTCTTACGTCCCATATGCAATTAGACCGACTTGATTCACATAATACCGCCGCAAAGACTATTCTTTATCTGCACATAAGAGAAAACTCGATAATGTGACTTTTGTATGATCTATCACTTGATCTTCCACTTTAATTGAGAAATATCTTATCAACTTAGAATAAAAGTAATTAGGGAAACTTGTGGATGACAGATGCATAACTAGTCTAGTATGTTTTTATTTGCAAATGTACTTGCTGCAAGATAACCAAACTTTTAAACGAACAGGAAAACTTCCTTTAGGCAATAATTAATGATAAACTGTTTATAAACATATTGATATGCGATAGTTAATATGCACATATGTTCCGCTATGGTGCGCCAGAGTCGTCAAAAGTCTGTATTTTAATACAGATTTTCTGTATTAAAATACAGTTATTTAATGTACAGATTCTGAAAAATGCGGAATTTCGTTTATGGTAAATTAAATGATACATTTAATTCCCAACAGTTTGGTATTAATTGATACTTTTCCTCCAATCATTTCG